GTCAAAAACACAATAACTAAACACTATATAATGAAACAACAGACAATAATGAGATATTTGCCCCAAAAAATAGATCTGTCATTAATTAACTGAGTATTATTAAGAACAGAACGATAAGCTTAGTAAATCGGATTATCTAATATTAAGCTGAACAAAAACATATGCTGTGTAGTAATTATGTTGCTTAGTTGATAATATCGGTTAACGTGTATGAGTAAGATCAGTTTAGCTGATATTTTGAATGCGGGGTATATAACTGTGAGTATGTGCAGATGTTCATTACACTATTCTCAAATTAATCGTTTAACCATGGCTGTTTTTCCTTTACCAAAAGTTGATGATATGACAATACGTGAATGGTCCACCTGTACAGACACTATCGAAAACACAATTCAATTTGCACAAACACTTGGCCTTTTGCCAGTGCTTCCACCAACACCATGTCCGAATGGTCACGATAATTGGTATCTTGGTAAATACTCCCGATCGATCGACAGTAAGTAGCACACAGTTTTAGTTTCTGGATACTGATTCATTATTCTTTTTTCTAGAATACCAGTGGCGTTGTCGTGAGAAAAATTGTAAACTAACCAGATCCCTTCGGGATGGTACATTTTTCTCAAATTCCAAACTGGAGCTCCAACAGATCTTGGATCTAATGTATTACTGGTCACAAGGAGTGGTAAGAAAAATTTATTGTGGGATTTCTTTTATTTCGATTCTTTTGTGTTTATAATTGTAGGATACTTACGACTTTCTTCAACGGCAGTGTAACTTCGGCAGCAAATCCACAATCGCCGACTGGAAGAATTTTCTACGCGATGTATGCGCCGAACATTTTCTTCGCCATCCAGCGGAAATTGGTGGGGTCGGACATGTTGTTGAAATCGATGAAAGTTCATGGACAAAAAGAAAGTTTAATCGGGGTCGTGTAATCAAAAATCAATGGGTATTTGGTGGTATCGACAGAGACACTCGGGAGTGCTTTGCTGTACTCGTTGAAAGACGAGATGCAGCAACACTGCTCCCTATAATTCAACAACATGTTCGCCCTGGCACAACTATATTAAGTGATGAATGGCGTGCGTACCACTCGTTGCAAAATGGTCCTGGTGGCTATATCCATCAAACAGTTAACCACTCGTTACACTTCGTTGATCCAGTAACAGGTGTACACACCCAAAACATAGAAAACATGTGGATGTGTGCCAAACAAAAGAAAAAACGAATGATGGGTATGCATGTTTCTCTGCTGGACACCTATCTTATGGAGTTCATGTGGAGAAGACGATTTCCGGAAAGACCATTAGAAAACTTAATCGCTCAAATTTTTGAGCTTTATCCAGTTTTGAAGTTAGAATGATTGCATTCGTGTACTTCACTTTTCTGTTTCATTTCGTTTTTTAATCGTTTTTTTGTTTTTGTTTCTTTGGTTTTCTCACGTGCAAAATGAATTGTGTTTTTGAT